CTAAAGACTCTAACGTACTTATCTTCTTGCTCAGTTGTGCAACGCGGCCTCCCACTTATTTTTCTACTCTGGTTAGAGCTTGTGTGTGCTGTCCTCTGAAGGGAGTAATACACAACGTTTGGCTTCTTTGTTAGCCTGCAATGCCTCATACCTGTCTATGTCTCTGAAAGGGGGGTCACATTAGAAGGGACAGTTGGCCTGGCTGAATAAGGGGTTGCGATGATAGCGGGAAGGAGTCCACCCCCCTTTTTTTTCCTAACATAGATGGTTTCCTTTGACTAGTCTCTGTTTAAGGGTCTGTTTGGTTTGAAATGTTCAGGGATTTTGTGTTTGGAGAAAATCATCTTGAGTTTTTCAGAGACTTCAGCAACATATGGGATGGAGATGTTTTAGGGTTTAATCTTCTCGCCGTTATGTTCTGCTGCTTGCCTTTGGTATTTTCTTGCTGATTTGACAAACGCCCCGTTTGGGCATCCACAGGTTGGGAGAGCATCTATGTGTTTCTGTTCTTTGTGCTTCCCTTCTATTTTAGTAGGGACACAATCTGCCACTTTTTTTTTTAGCTGGATCTTGAAGAATGTGTCATCCACATATCTAAACCAATTTCTTGGTGGTGTTCCTCTGAAGGTGTCCAAAGGTGTCTTTTCCATTTCTTCCATGTACTGATTGGCTGTAATTGGTGACACGGGAGATCCCATTGCACAACCATGCTTCTGTCTGTAAAAATGATCCCTGAACTTGAAATAGGTTGTGGAAATGCAAAGGTCCTATAGGGTAAACTGTGATAAATATTTGCACCTTATAAACAGATGTCATTTAGAAGATCTAGATGTTGAATATCTTTTATGATTAAAACTTTCACAGCAGATGAAGGTGAACCGTAATTGTTGGATAGCAGCTGGAGTCAGAGATGTTCCTCCTCCTGCTGTCCTCCACCAGGTCCCTGCTTCAGTAACAGAGAACCAGGAAACATGGATGATCTAAAAGCTTCAGATGAAGATCATCAACACACAGCTGGGATGAAGATCTATAGATCTTACCTCCATAGATGCGACTGAGGTCTGAAGAGAAAAGGCCTTTCTTGATGAAACTAATCAGTCAAATATTTCTGATAATTAACGATGTGATTTTCATCAAACATCTATTAGTGATGAGAAGAATTTAATAAACTATAAACCAATGATCTTAAAACTGCAGGAAGTGAAGACAATCTACAAAATGCAGTTCTTCAAAAACAGTGTTTCTATTTATTGAGATGAACAATCAGAGATGATTTTCAGGATATTAGTCTGTTTTCGCTGTGAGTGATTCTGCTTTAATATTAGCAGGAAGAGAGGAAACATTTCCACTGATTAACTACAGAGAAAAGCAGCTGAAACAACAAGAACGTCACCAAAAGAAGGGCTGAGGAGGCGCAGAGTGTTAGCGTCTGGATGGAGGTCCACAGGCCGGCTGGAGCTAAGGGGGCGGGGCTTTGGTAACCTGATGTAATACTAGCTGATCACACTAGGGGGAGCGAGAGGGAGGAGAATAGGGCTGACGGGATGTGCAGAGAACAGATGGAGAAGTAAGAACACATCTATAAGATGATCTCTACGCACCACAGCAGCAGGCGGCGGAGGAGGAAGAAGAGAAGGAGGAAGAAGAAAAGGAGGAGGAAGAGGGGGAGGTGGAGGAAGATGAGGGGGAGGAGGAGCAGGATGAAGAGGAGCAGGATGAAGAGGAGGAGGAGGAAGAGGAGGATGAGGAAGAGGAGAATGTTCTCCAGATAAAGAAAAGCTCAGCAGTTTTCTTTTTTATTCAGACCTTAATAAGCTCCTGATAAATCAGCCAATCAAATCCAGAATCTGCTGGATCTGCTTCTTAAGGTGAGTCATGTGATGAGTCAGGATCCAGAAAGAGGCGGAGCCTCACTGGGACGCCGTAGTGTTGATTGTTGCTTAGCAGCAGCCCAGCGGAGCCTGGTGCAGCAGCGCAATCAGTCAAAGGTTTCCCACTTCCTCCTGGGGTCCTCTGCCTTCTTCTTCTGTGGTAGAACAGGGGTGGCCATGCTCAGCAGGTCCCCAAAAGGGTCCTTGGCTTTCTGGGCGGGGCCCTGCGCCTGCAGCGGCTTCATGGCGGCGTCCAGCGGGCTGGAGAGGGCGTGGCTGCTGTCAGAGGTCTGAGGCAGAGAGGCGGCTGCTGTCTGAGCCAGTCCATGGCTGGAGCTGCAGGGGGACAGCTGTCTGTGGATCCCTGGTAGTGCAGAGAAGGAGGTGTGCATGAAGGAGGCGGGGGGAGGTCCATAGGCCACGCTGAAGGGATTCCCGCAGACGGAGGGCGAGTAGTGCTGGACGGACTGGGCGAACGGGTTCAGAGAGACGTGAGGATGATGAAGAGGGAAAGGAGGCGGGCCTTGGTGGTAGGGCCTCGGGGGGAGGGCGGGCCTTCCTGCCAATGATGACTCCATATCTAACCCGTCTACTGGAGCAGAGGAGGGCGGCGCCGAGCTGTTCAGAGGGTCCAACAGCCTGATCAGGTCTGCGCTGTCCTCCAGGGCCTGCTGTCCCTCTGAGCTCATACTCAGGGCCTGCCTGAACTCTTCCCTGCCTGGAGCAGCTCGTCCTTCCCTGGAACCCACAGCTTTGGATCGCGACTGGACAGCAGGGGGCGCCAGAACCGCTCCTAGCTCTGGTGTCTTCCTCCCTTGGGGACGAGGAATGGTGATGTTCCCGATGGCGGACGGGTCCAAAGAGTCTACGGCTGAGCCAGAGGTTTCCCTGGGAGGGGAGCAGGACTCGGTGTGCACAGGCAGCTGGACTGATGGAGCGGGACGGAGACAGACAGGCGGGACTCGGCTGTCCTTCCCTAAAGCACCCAGCTTGTTGTAAGGATTGGAGAGTTTGAGCCCTGGAAGGGTTCTGGAGTTTTCACTGACGCTCAGATCCAACCTCTGCAGACAGGAGAGAATGAGACGTTCAGGTTCCTCTGGAAGAACACGACCAACGCTAAACTGGTCTAAATGGTTTCCCACCCCTTCAAAACCATTTGGTTTCAGTTTTTAAAATTGAAACAGCAGAAATGATAAAAGACGACTTAAACTTGCATCAATAAAACTTAAATGAGTTTATCAACTAATCAACAAATAGAGGAGAAAATCTTACAGCTGCAGAAAGATTAATTTAAAAAATAATTGTTTCTGTTTGAAAGCCACCTGAGTCGTAAAGTAATCAAAAGTTTATTCAGCTACAGTTATCACCATTACCTCATCTCGTAACCCAGTTATCACCATAAAATTATATGGTAACCTACAGTTATCACCATTAGCTTATGTGGTAACCTACTGTTATCACCATTACCTTATATGGTAACCTGCAGTTATTACCGTTACCTCATATCGGAACCCACTTTTATCACCATAAAATTATATGGTAACCCACTGTTATCACCATTACCTGATATGGTAACCTACAGTTATTACCGTTACCTCATATCGTAACTTACTGTTCTCACCATTAGCTTATATGGTAACCTACAGTTATCACCATTAGCTTATGTGGTAACCTACTGTTATCACCATTAGCTTATATGGTAACCTACAGTTATCACCATTAGCTTATGTGGTAACCTACTGTTATCACCATTACCTGATATGGTAACCTACAGTTATCACCATTAGCTTATGTGGTAACCTACTGTTATCACCATTACCT